GGCACAGCCGGCCGGCTGGGGAGAGGCCCAGACGTCTCTAACATGCGGCCGAGCTGCTCGTGGGAAACCCTCATGCTAAGATGATGATCTGATCAGGCGGCCTCATCGCGTGATCAGGCCGGCCGGCTCCCAGAGGGGTGGTACCCCAGGTGACCCTGTCCATCGTGGGGCCCGCGCTCAGCTCTGCACTACTTTCTGATGGCTGTGCCTCGCTGCCACTAAGGTAGCAGCCCTCTGCCTGGCGCCTCGCTTCCACGACTCCCACAAAGGGACAGACGCACAGTCGGGCCGTGGGGTTCATTCACACACCTCTTAGTGGTTACCCTTCATGTGGACGTCACGCATGACCCTGACCGTCTCCCCACTCACTGAAAAGAGCCTTTACGCACTTATCTGAATAAGCACAACGAGCGCCGCAGAGCAGAAAAGCCCAGGCCGGTCGCTTTTTAAAACAAGGCAGACACTGAAAGGAAAGGAAGCTGCTGGTTACGTGAGCCCCTCTGCATTCACGGCACCTGAATTGCTGTTTCGGGGTTAAGTTGGTGGACGTGTATGAACGCTCTAATTTTATGGAGCAGGCTTCTGTTGGGGCCCCAGAATATCACAGCCAGTATTGTGAGTCCAAAGAGGTAATTGTTGGAGAAATGGTTTAATACATCGCAAATCCCTCCACTTCCATCCTTCCAAACGGGATGTCAAAGCGATTACAGACGAGAAGCAGATCACAAGCAAATTCACTTTATAAAATTGCTGTAATCGTTCTCTGAGGGATTAACCAAGGCTTAGAGCCTTCGCTCAGGGCTCTGGCCAGAATTCTCTTGGATGGTCGAGGCAGAAGCCAGACCAGCTTTTCTGGTCAGAACGGTGGCTGGCCATCTCCCCCTCCTCTTAGGAAGCTGGTGCGTGTCCCCCACACAGAGGTGCCTCCTCTGTCCCTGCCCTCACCTGCAAGGGAAGCGGGCGTGTGCGTTTGCACAGCGAGCTTTGCGCTGGGTGCTCCTGGCGCAATCGGAAGGTGAAACAACATCCCCCAGTGATTCTAGTCGCATCTGCACACATGAAAGGAGAAGCTCATCTTCGGATGGAGTTAAAAGCAAAACGAGACAGCAGGAAGCCAGTGTGCCTGGTACATGGAGCCTGTTGGTCCACACAAGCAGACGGGGCACTGGCTTGAGCGAAAGGCCCCCGGAGGTCCCTGGGGAGTGTTCGGCCCTCTGGGTTTGATGCCGCTTTAGGTGGGGAGTGAATTCCTTAACCGGGGGAACAGAAGATCTTTGGGTATGAAATGTCGTGGGCACCATCGGAACCGAAAGTGCCAGGGCCACGTCGACCCCAACTCGATGGTGGAAGCTGCATCAGACACTGTGGTCTCCTGCCGGCAAAATGACAGCTGGAGGGGCTGCACTAGTTTAGTTGGGCGGAAGCCACAGGGCATCACGGCACTCAAAGGGAGAGAGAATGTATTGATCCCCTTCTGCCTGAGCAGCCTTGGCCGGCTGGGGGATTGTAGCCAGGCTGAGGGCCGCCGGGAGAGTGGACACCGAAGTTTAGCCCCAACAAGGGACTCCTACAAGCGACTGGGCTCAGAGAAGGCTGCCCCAGGCCCCCATGTGCCTGGCTTTGCGAAGGGACCCCTCCCTAACGACAGCCGAGCAGGTGGCTGCAGCCTGAGTTTGAACACGTCTTAGTCTGCGTTTCCTCCAGCAGCCGGAGCTGAGATGCCCTCAGTGTGGTGGTTTTCCCATGGAGAAAGAGGAGGCGGCCTCGGCTTCAAGCTGGGAGTGGGCGAGGGCCCAGGGTCTGAGCCAGTGGCCGTCGCCATGCTGGGCCACTTTGGGTGGGTTCACCTTGTAACTTGCAGGATCCCACCAGCTCCCAGGACTGGAGGGGATGGGGCTGCCCAACGCGCGCTGGTCAGGCACCTCGGTGGGCACGTGGCCACCACCTTCTCTTGGTGCAAAGCAGACAGCAGCTCTTCTTGCCTCCTGCCTGGCCCCAGCTGACCCTCTGGAGAGACCCCGGGGGAGTCAAGGATTGAAAGCTCAATAAGGCCGGGCACTGGCTGGCTGTCCAGCTGGAGAGCACCCCCAGTAGGGGGCATTTCTGCTATTCTTAACAAGAGGTGGAGAGAAGGGGCACTGGAATGCTCCCCACTTTCACAGATTGGAGCTGGCACCCACTGCAGTGGCCACTGAGCCCGTGCGATGAGGCTGGTCTGGATTGAGGTGGGCTGTGAGCGCGAGCTGCCTACTGGGTTTTGAAAACCAAGTATGAAAAAAAGAATATGAAACACCTCATTGACAATTTTTATATACTGATTGCATGTTGAAATGATTGTTTTTGATACACTGGGAGAAAGAAATCATTAAAATAAATTTCCCCTGCTTCTATTTACTTTTTACGCGGCTGCTAGAACGCTGAATATTGCACACAAGGCTCACGTGGTGTTTGCGTTGGACAGCGCTGGTTCAAAGGGGTGGCATGAGGGTCTAAATCCCAGGGACACTTCCCTGAACCCCTCCACAGCTGTGCGTCTTCTTTACACAACAAGGATCTAAAAAACGGGTGTCTGAGAGGGCGAGCTCAAACCTGAGTTGTAAGCAAAGCTCTTTCTTCTTCATCCGTCCCTCTGACCTGGGAGATCCTGGGGAGATGTGGTGTGAGCTGATCCATGGCAGTCCTTAGCACACCTGCGGGAGTTCAGCCCTCGGGAGAAAAGACAATGCCGGCCGCCTACCGGGTGTTTCTGGCGGCCACAAGCTCGTAGAAGGGCAAAGCCAATGACTGGTCAGTTTACTTTGCTGCTGCCTGGTGTGGACACACGGGCCTCGGAGGGTCAGGTCTTTTGTGCCAGGAAAGGTCTTCCAGTGCCGAGTCTGGCTTCCATTGGGGAGTCTGCCACGCCAGCTCAGACAGACAAACGTCATCTGTTTTGATAGACCAGACGGCTTTGTTAGCGGCTGCCGCTGAGAACCCAACCTCATTTCACAGTGAAAAACGATCTCCGCTCAACCCCTGGGCGAGGCACGCTGACGTTCTGAAGAGCAGTGGATAAACAGCTGCACAATTTTTAACAGAAGTGTTCCACTTTACGTTTTACTTAAACCAAGTTATTGGAAGGATGTATGATTAGTTAAGTGTTTCTTTTTAGAAGTTGTTGCTTTTCACCCACGTAGGGGAGAGAGATTTTTCCCTTCCTCTTTTCTTATGATTTCAGGTATTTCAGACGTTAGTAAGGAGTGGTGCCTTACAGATGAGTTTCCAGCCTCAGAGACTTTTTTAAGTTCTGTGATTCAGACACATGTGGCCCAAGTTGGAACAAGGATCTGAAAATTGAAATGATGAATTCAGTCATAAGCGAATAGAATTTGATTTGATATTAAAATTTGATCATAGTATTTAAAAACTAAGTTGAAATCAAATACTTTATCCTAAATATAAATGATGTATGAAATATCTCTGGCTTTAACCAGAACCAGCAATTCTGTTCAGAATTATGGAACCTAACTAAATTATAATGTTGATTACAGGTCCCTTGGAAATGACTCCAGAACTAGAGGACATTTGGGTTTCCAGATTTCTTGCCTTAAGTTATCTAAAACGGATTTGGAAAACAGTCTCTGCTGCTCAGCTTTTTGAACGTGCAAAACTGATAAGCTGGTCTGTTAGGGGGAAAGACAATGAAGAAATAAAAATGGAAATTAGCGGAGCCAGTATTAAGCATATGTCTTTATGAATAAAGCTTAATCATACACTTCATTTTGCAAATACAAAAGGGCCTTTTGAAACGTATTAATTAAAGTTAAACGCTATAGACAGGCCGCTTGGTGGGGCCGCGCTACTCTCCCCATTAGCATCGCATTAACGACAGCCGAGGAAATCGGGTTAATAGAGCCGGATACTGTAGCCGGGCGCCCAGCGCCTACCAGCGCGATAGCTCTGTCCCGAGGGGGCCGGCGTGACTGTGTGAGGCGTCTGAGACCCTGGAGGGTGCAGAAATCTGAGCTGTGCACAGACCCATAATCACCCCACTCTAAAAGAAGCAGACCCATCGGGGCGCGCGGGTCCCCAGCCGCGTACTCACCTCAGAGAGGTGCCGGGAGATGGCAGGGAGTTCTACCGGTCGCCGGGGCTAGACCGGGTCCTCCCCTAGGCCCCCAGGCCCCTCCTCCAGCAGCCCCTTCAGGCAGAGGGCCCCGACTGTCTCCATCCAAGGGGGTGCGGCGTTGTATCGGTCGTGGGGGCCAAGCCCAGGAGTATTAAGGGGCAAATGCCCGCAGATTTCTGGGGTGACCACTTCCTGCGCCTCAAGCCAGGCAAGAAAAGAAACAGGACCGTTTGCCCACTCAACTCAGACTTGTGAAAGGTGTAAACGCTGGCTGCCTCGCATCTTCCTTCGACCGCGGTCCAGCTCCTTTTGCAAACGACAGCGGCCGGGTCGGTCCGGGCGCATCGGGCGGCTCCACTGCGGGAGCTGGGCTTGTGGAGCCGGCCGAGGTGAGAGGGGCCCCGGCGACGTGAGTCCTCAGAGACAGGCCCAGCGGGTGAGCTGCCCTGCAGTTTGGTTAGAGGGGCAGACAGGGGTCCAACGTGCGCCCAACGCTGGGGCCGCAGCCTGCCAAGTCCGACTGCGCCCTGTCCCTGCGTCTCCTGCAACCCGCACTGGCGATGGGCAGGGTCACGCACGAGTCCCTGGTTGGGCCGGGACCCGCTCCCGCTGAGGCCCTGGGACCCGCCATGGGCTCCTTTGACGGGGTGACTGGCGGCGCCTGGAGGAGCAGGGTTGGCCACCCTCCGTCCCCAGGCTGCAATAGCGCTTGACACCTCCAAGGACGTGGGGAGGATGTCCAGCGGGCGCTGCAGGTCCAGGCGCATATTCCAGCGTCTTGGCTGTCTCCAGATTAATCCCGCGGCGGGACGGGCCTTGCCCTTCCTGCTGGAAGCGAGATCGGGCCGCCCCTCCCCATCTGCGGGGGTCCGTCCGAGCATCTCTGGTCAGGACAGGGTGACAGTCATCAAGGACAACGTGAAAAGGAGGACGGGAGCGGAGAGGAGGGGCTGGCCCGGCCGTCACGGCTTCTCATTACAGTGTTTGCAAAGCGCCGAGGGCGTCCCGGAGAAGGCGGCGCACTTGTCAGGACAGGGCCCCAGCGCGGCGCCCGCTGAGAAGGGGTACACCGCGGCCTGGCCGAAGGGCGTCAAGGGCGCGGCGGCCACGGGCGCGGCCAGGCCCTGGCCCTGGTTGAGGTAGGCCACGAGGCGCCGCATCTCGTCCAGGGCCTGCGCCTGCATGAGGATGTAGTTCTTGGCCAGCAGCAGCGTGGCGATCTTGGAGAGCTTGCGCACCGACGGGCTATGCGCGTAGGGAATGACCGCGCGGAGCCCGTCCAGCGCGTCGTTCAGGTCGTGCATGCGCCGCCGCTCGCGGGCGTTGACGCTCAGCCGGAGCGAACGCTGCTCCCGGGGCCGCCGCCGCCCGTCCGCAGCCCCCGGCCCACGCCCCTGCCGCCGCTGCTCGAACGCGTCCTCCTCGTCGCCACTCTGCTCGCCGCTGCTCTCGGCCGCCGCCGCCGGGGCGCAGGGTGCGGGCGTCACGGGGAGGTCGCCGCCTGGGTCCTGCGCGCAGTAGCCGCGGGCCGCCTCGGGCCCCCGCACTGCCCCGTAGGCAAGACTCGCCGCCGCCGCCGCGTAGCCCTGGCTCAGCGCCAGGTACGCATCTTCCGACAGCGACTTGAGCTCGGCCATGGGCGCGCCGCTGGGGCCCGAGGCCGCGCCCGGGGGGCGGGAGCTCATGCGGCCGGGCCGGGGCGACGGAGCGCGGGCAGCTCCGTGCGGCCGTGCGCTGTCCGCCTATCGATCCCCGAGCCTCGGCGCGCCGGTCCTGTCCCCCGCCCCGCCCCTCCTCGTCCCCTCCTCCTCGCTGCCGCCCTTGCTGGGACTTCGCGACCGTCCAATCAGAGGGGACCTGGTGGCCGCCTCTTCCTCAGCTGCGTTCCACCTGCCCCCGCCACCCAGGTGCCCTAGCGGCGCAGACCGACGGCGCAAGGGTGGCAGCCACTGGGACCAAGGGAGCCGGAGGGTTGGACAGAGACGCGGTGGGGGTCTCCGCCCTGGGATGTTGAGTGCGCAGCCCGGCGGAAGCGCCCTGGCCGCGCCGCAGCGCCGCGCTTTTCCGAGTCCTGCCCGCCCCGGGGCGCTGCTTGGCCGGCGGGGCTGGGCTGGGGACTGGAGATCTGGGATCTCCTGTTGGTCGGCCCTTTCCTGGGCTTCCAGCCCCCGCGCCACGCTGTTTCCCAGGACAGTTGCGCCTTGAGTTTGTTTCCACGGTCCCCAAAGTCAGGTAGAGATTTGAGGCTTGTCGTCATAGAGGAGACTTCTCTCAATTCTTCGCCTGGGTGTCTGAGGGTGAGTCCTCGGTCATGGAGTTGGGGACGATGATGCTGTCGCCCTCAGCAGCAGGCAGACGTTGGAGGGTGGTGCTCAGGGCTGTGAAGGACTGGAGGGGTGTCGTCTGTCCCGGGCCTGAGCAATGAACCCTCCAGGGGCACCGCGGTGGAGCCAGCAGGGCGGCAGATCAGGGGTGTGGTCTCGGAGGGTGGAGGCTTCCCTGGGGTGACGGGTTAGCAGAGCTGGGGTGCTGACTGGTGGCAACTCCCTGCTCCTGAGCTCTGAAGGCAGGTGGGCATGACTTTAGCAAAGGATGGAGATGTTGGGATGAAGCCCGTTCTGAAAAGCGACCCCAGGCTGCCTCCGTGAGGGTACGTGAGCCTCAGCTCCCTGTCCTGGGTGGTATCAGGCAAAGGGAGGGTGGTGGGGAAGCAGCAGAGACCCGGGTGGGGGGGAATGGGAGGGCAAGGCTTTGGGCCAAAGTCTGAAGGGCAGTAGTGTCACTTGGGGGCTGGCCCGCAGGTAAATGAGCAGAGCAGGGGCTGTAACTGGACCTGTGTGGTCAGGGACTGGGGGTCCTTTGTCCTCTGGTGGCCCCAGGTGGGGTGGGGGTGGCGGCCATCAAGAGAGGCTGTAGAGGGGCTGATGGAGTGCTGGTCATCTAGGATGGCCTCCTGCCCCAGGTCTTGGGACAGGAGGACGAGGACATGTGTAGACAGGAGGATAGTCCCCATGTTGAGTGTGAGGGCATCAAGCGCTGAAGGGGGTGCCGGGTGGGGGCGTGTGGCCGTGGCCGCACGGCAGTCGGTCAGTGCAGGTGTAGGGAGTGAAGCACAGGCACGGGTGAGACTGGCTTCACCAAATGTGAGAGCAGCTTCTCAGGATCATGGAAGTGAGTGAAAGCTGGGGTCCCGCCCCCAGGGCTCTGCTGTGGTGTCTGGGGCCTGTCCTGGGCGCTGGGGTTCTGAACACTCCCCGCCCAGAGAGGGCCTGGAGTTTCCTCATGGCCAACTAAGAGCCCTAGTGGGCACACCTTGGTTGAAAAGGCTGGAGGCGGAGGAGGACATGGTCAGGGGTGAGGGCGGGGAGACGTCTGGGTCCTGGAGCCATCAAGCATCCGGGGAGAAACCCAGCTGCTGGCAGCACCGGGTTCCCGTGTGAAAAGCCAGCAGCAAACCTGCCAGGAACTGAAGCCAGGAAAGCAACTTTCTTGGTCGCATGCTGCCACCTCGTGGCCACCTGGGGGATTGCGCTTGGCCCCAGGGCTCAAGGAGACCCCGCTGCCTCCCGAAAAGGTCCCTGGTTAAAAGGCCGGTCCTCAGGCCCCTCTCGGGGATTCCGACTCTTTATGGCAGCTGCCCTACAGGAACCAGGGTTCCGCGTAGTGGAGGAGGTGAAAGAACCTACCGGAAACAGCATTTCATTCTCACCAGCCCTCGACGTTGGAGGCTGGCCGATACCAAAGGCAGGTCTTCAGGCCTGGGCCACCAGCGAGGGAGCAGAGGGAGCAGGCCAGTCCCTCACTGCCCCTAGGCCTCAGTGGGCACGGGCGGTGGAGGGCGGCCATCCCAGCTGACGGGGCAGCCACTTCAGCTCTCTGGGCCTCAGTTTCTGCATCTGGACAGTGGGGGCGTCTTCCTCACAGTGTGGTCTTCAGACATCTCTGAGGGTGGGGCCGTCTTGATGGTAAGCGCCTCACACATCAGGACATCTGGATGGCTCGGTACTTGTTGCTGCTGGTTTTTTTTTCCTTTTTGTTTGTTTAATAATAATAATAAACCTAACCCGTGGTCATTGAGTCAATTCTGACTTATAGCAACCCTATAGGACAGAGTAGAACTGCCCCATAGGGTTTCCAAGGAGTGGCTAGTGGATTCGAACTGCCGACCTTTTGGTTAGCAGCTGGGCTCTTAACCACTGTGCAAACAGGACTCTTTGTTTAATAGTAGACTTTATTTTTTTAGAGCAGTTTTAGGTTTACAGAAAACTTGTGCAGAAAGTACAGAGTTCCCTCATTCCCCCTGCACGGCCCTCCCCTGCACGGTCCTCCCCTCCACAGTCCTCCCCTCCACGGTCCTCCCTTCCACTGCCTTCCCCTCCGTGGCCCTCCCCTCCAGAGTGTCCACTGTTTTTACATCTTGCATTCCTGCCTCTGTTTGTTACAATTGATGAAACACCGATCATTGTTATTAAATGCAGTCCCTGGTTTACAGGAGGGCTCACTGTCGGACAGCTCTGTGGGTTTTGATAAATGCACAATGTCACGTGTCCACTTTGACGACACATACAGAATAGCGCCACTGCTCTGTAAATGCCTGTGCCCCCCTGTTCACCTCTGCTCCCCTCCTCCTGATCCCCTATGGGCCTATTTAGTTGTCTGGTATGGGTCACTACCCACCTTCAGGGGCTCCTGAGCTGCTCGCAGCCTGCCCCACCCCCTCATCTGGTAGATCACGCGTGCTTGTCCAGCACCTTCTGACACACACTGGGCAGTGCCCCCTTGTCCTGGGCCCCCATTGGGCACCTTACAGTTGTCAGTGTGGACGGACAAAGAATGGGCAGGGGGCTGGGCACCCGTGGGAGGCTGGGCACTCTGGGGGGAATGTTGGGCGCCCGTGGGGAGCTGGGCACCCATGGGGAGATGGACACCCTTGGGGGGGGTCACAATGAGGCCTGGCTCTGGCCCCGTGGCACTTGGCAGACCAGAGAACAGCCTGGTGTTTAGGGCCAAGGCAGAGGGCAGGCTGCTCACAGGATGCCTGTTCTCCTTCTGGCCTCCAGAGGGCAGCATGCCCCTGGGTTTGAGTCACCAGGTGAGGCCTTGGGCCATGGGTGAGAGCCCAGGGGAGCCCGAGGTGTGGAGGCAGCAGCTCAGCCGCCAAAATGGTCCTTGGTCACTCCTGGGGTCAGACCACGGGACCTCGACCCTCGGAGTAACCAGGACACTGTCCGAAGGGCCGGGTGGGCCGCCTGTGCAGGGGAGGTAAAGTAAGAGAGTTGGGGGGCGGCCTGGTGGAGCGGGGTGGGCCCGCCTCGCCTCCCCTTGGGTCCTCTCCTTGCTGACTCCTGCCTTCCTGCAGCCCCTGTCAGGCAGGACCCCTAATGGGGGGACTGCAGGCGGCAGCAGCAGGCGAGGAGAGTGCTGGGGAGTAGGGTTACCGAGTGGGGGAGGACTGGACAGTGGGGGCGGGGGTGGAGAAAGAAGTTTCTGGGTGCCCCCCAGGCGCCTGGTCTGGGGCTGGGCTGTGAGGGCCAGATCGCGGAGCCCAGCTGTCGGCCCTGTAGTTTGGCCTTTTCTAGAAGTTCATGCGGGCGGACTCATGCAGCACGCGGTCTCGTGTCTGGCTTCTTTCACTTGGCACGATGCTCCTGAGGTTCACCCAGGCTGTAGCACGCGCCACGTGTGTTGCGCCGTGCTTGTGCTGTGACTGCCGTGTTGTATTCGGTGGTGCGCGCCCATCCTCCTGCCGAAAGACTTGGGTTGTTTTCAGAGTTTTACTGCCATTAATCCTGCTTCCTCAGACATTAGTGCACGTGTGCTGTTGCAGACATGTTTTCGTTTCATACTCAGGAGCGGAAGTGCTGGGTCATATGGTAAGTGTGGAGCCCTGGTGACGCAGTGGTTAAGGGGTCGGCTGCTAACCAAAAAGTCGGCAGTTCGAATCAACCTGCCGCTCATTGGAAACCCTATGGAGCCATTCTCCTCTGTCCTGTGGGGTCACTATGAGTCGGAATCGACTTGACGGCAAGGGATTTGGTTTGGGTGGTTCAGTGGCAGAGTTCTCACCCTCCACGCAGGAGGCGCAGGTTCAATTCTCAGCCGAGACACCTCATGCGCAGCCACCACCCATCTGTCAGTGGAGGCTTGCGTGTCGCTATGATGCTGAACAGGTTTTAGCGAAGCTTCCAAACGAAGCTGGACTAGGAAGAAAGGCCTGGTGATCTACTTCTGAAAATCAGCCAGTGAAAACCCTATGGATCACAACTGTCCAATCCGCGACGGATCGTGGGGACGGCGCAGGCCGGGCAGCGTTCATTCCGTTGTGCACGGGGTGGCCATGAGGCGGGGGCAGACTCCACGGCCGCTGACAACAATGACGTAGTAAGCGCACGTGTAACTTCAGAAGAAACTGTCCGACTGTTTTCCAGCGTGGCCGCACCATCTGACTTCCCACCAGGAGTGTCCGGGTGTCCCGGCTGCTCCGTGTGACTGGGCGTGCTCTGCCAATAGGCGGTCTGGTCGGTGGGTCTTTCTAGCGTTGGGTGTGTAGCGTGTCTCGCTGAAGACGCGTGATGTCGAGCTTCTTGTCTGGTGCTGATTTGCTGTCTGTGTATCTTCTTTGATGAAAGTCTTTTCCATCTTTTGCCTGTTTTTTATAATGTTGTCTGTCTTATTAATGGGTTCTTTAT